ATTTTTTCATAAAATGGGAAAAGCCAGAGAACTCAGTTTTCTTTTTCTTTCATTTAAAAAAAATACAATTTAATTTCGCTTGAGTTTCACAAAAGAGAAGTGATGTAATTGCTGAATTCATACTGTGACAGAAAAGGCCACATACTAACCTGACAAGCTCAGGGAAGGCCTGCGCTCCCCTGCAGCCCCAGGGACCTGCTGAACCTGGGTCCCAGCCAGTCACCAGTTCCCCAGGTCCTGCCTGCAGCCCCAGGCCCTCAAACCAGTCTGGAGGGGCTGGGAGGGAGGCTGACCTCTTAGGCAGAGGGGCGCAGACACCAGGTGGGCACTCCGCTCTCCATTTCCCCTTTGCGCTCCCCCTCCCCCCTCCGCCCTGACTCCCCTGGAGGAAATGCTGAGAACACTTAGTCTGTGCAGACATCAGCTCCTGGAGGGCTCAGCCTGCGCAGAGCGGCCACCAGAGGGGGCCTGTCTGCAGGGTGGTGGTAGAACAGCCTCCCAGGGCAGCTGGGTGCCCACCTGGCCCCAAAGCCATCCTTCTGCTGCTCCCCCTTGACTCTTCTCAAGACAGGCAGCTGTGGTTTCCTCCAGCCCAGCTGCCTGTCTTGGGAGGCCACAGAGGCGGTCGCCCTCTGCTGGCCAATTCCTGTTACTGCAGAAAGTCACCCTGCCACCTAGCCTGTGCCCACTAGGAGCCAGCCCAGCACATCATTCCCATTCCACAGGTCAGAATCAGAAATGTGCGCTTCCCTCCCCTGGGATGGGGCAGAGCTGGACTGGGAACCAGGACAGTCTCTGTAGCTGATGTGTGAAGTCCACATTTTTTTTTAACCTACCCAGGGTGCTCCAGGGTCATGGATTTTTGAGACTTGATCCCTTTCTGTGACCTTAGACCCTTGACCTTTTATTGGTGTCCTGATTCTTGACCTCTGATGTTTGACCCCTTCCCTCTGACCATTGATCCTATTTCTAATGCTTGACCCTTTAACTTAACCCTTGAGAAGCGTAACAACCTAACTTTAACCTAAAACCTAACCCTAGACCCTGGACCCTAAAACCTTGACCCTAGTTCCTTGAACACTGACCCTTCACACCTGACACTTTTTTCATGAGCTTTAACTCCTGATCTTTGACCTTTAATCTAACCCTTGACAACTCTAATACCCTTAACACCCTTAATAGCCTTAACCCAAAACCTAACCCTAGACCCTGGACCATAGAACCTAGACCTACATACTTGAACAGTGACCTTTCACATTTGACCTGTGATCTCTGACCCTTGACTCCAGTTGTCTGGGTTATGGAAGTCAAATCTTGCTTTAAGAAATCATGTTTTGGGTGTGTTATGAGGATACAAGGAGTCATTTTGTGTTAGGAGAAGTCCCTTGGCATGCCTGAGTCTGTGTCCCAACTACCTTGGACTCAGGGGTGATGAAACAATTTGCAGATACCTTGTTCTTAAGCTGTTGGGGGTGGCAGCCTTATTCCTGGCAGTCATGACCATTGCTGATCTCACATCAAATTGCCTGTTTCCTGGCAGGTGTTAGGTATCTGCCCCTGAGTTAGAAGCTTAGATGATTCAGTGTTTCTGCCTTGCCTTCACCTTATCTGAGGAGCATGGGTAGAAAGGTGTTCTTTCTTTGTTTCTTTCTTCTCTCTTTGAAAAATTACATTCTAGGAAAGATTTTCGACGATCTCACTAGATCAAGAAGTTCAAATAGGGCCATCTTACATCTGAGAAGTAGACATGAAAGGCGGGGGATGTACATTTCAACTGGGCACTGCAAGAGGGATGGGTTGGTCCTTATTGTTCGTCCATGGTTAATTCTACAGCTTATCCAATCATCTGTTGAAGGACATCGTGTGAACAAAACTGCTCTACAGATGTGTATGCAGGTTTTGGTGTGGATGTATTTTGAAACCAGTTGGATGAATTTCCAGGGGTGGTGTTATTAGATCTTATGGTAAAATTTAGTTCTGCAAGATCTTGAGTCAGTTTTGATAAGCTAGCTATTTTGAGGAATTTTTATATCTCACTAAATTTTTTCTCTGACTTATCCTCTTAGAAGTCTGTCAGCCCTCTCTGTCCAGGCAACAGTCATCCACTTCCTCCCAGGAAATCCGAAGAGCTTTTCTCCCTAGAGATTTTCACAATTTTTACCCAGGTTTCTTTATTTTCTTTTATGATTTTTTTTTTTTTTTTGTGGAGGGACCTAATAGCCCATGTACTTTTCTTATCTCAGAAAGACTCTTATAAGAAGTGTCTGATTCATTCAATTTCTGGCCTGACATCCTCGGTCTTACTAGCACATACTATACTGGCTAAGTTCATATTTTTTATTGGCTCTTGAAATCACTCCTTTAAATACTCTGATAAAAGGGAAGTATAGACATACCTCAGATATATTGTGGGTTTGGTTCTAGACCGCAATAAAGCAAATACTACAATAAATATCTGAGGGAACCACTTAAGTGTGGTTCAGTCTATAGGAAACATTTGGTGATGACACCGTCGACACCTGGCCTTAAGGTGCTGAAATGATGTCTCTGGTTAATGGTCATGGTTAATGGTTATGGTTAATGGTAATCTTGGTCCAAACCCCTTCCTGACTGACAAGTACAAGAGCAGTTTCTGGGAACCTGGACTATTAACTGAAGGGGTGTGCTGCTGGGTTGATTCAGTGATCCTTGACTTCCTATGCCTCCTCTTCATCTTTCTCTCCCTCTTCTTCCTCTTCTTCCTCCTTTTGAAATGATGAAACCAAGTTCTTGGAAAGTTTCCTGATTATTGGCCAAGACAAGGAAGCTGCAGCAACATCGCTTTAAAATGTTAATACACAAGAGTGAGTCTGCCCTACTGACGGCAGGTAGATTTTGTAAAGATATGAAAGGAGGAGTAACCACAAATGGCCCGGTCATCAGGTATCCAGTGACTGATGTACACCAACTGGACAGATAAGAGAAGATAATGTGGCAGGTGGAGGGGTCTGGAGGCCTTAAGGAGGACAGGCAACAACCAGAAAAAATATTTTAGAAATGACTGTCTTTAAAAACCTAAAACCTGTTTGTAGAGTAAGAGAAAGCAAATATATATGATCAGCTTAAGGTCATAGTTTCACCTCCATTTCTGACTTTTAGTGTTCTGACCTAACTCTTCCTCTCAATCCTTACATGTGATGGAGTGAGTGTTAAATGGTATTTTTATTTATTGTACATTTGCTTCTTGCAATTTAAAAACTGGTATTTATGTATGGAATAAAAAAGGCTTTATTTTCTGATAAGGAAATTGTAAGAATTTCTTGAAGTATCAGCAGGCTGGGGCTGTGTTGGGTCAGGTGGGAGGGAGAGATGCTGATCCTATAACAAGTGTGTTCCCACATTACACAGTAACATAAATTCAGTGCTGTCACTTGATTCCTATCTCAGATTGGGCCTTCTCATCAGCCATAGTTCAAAACGAAATGTTACAGTACCTGATGGGGCAGTCAGGAAAAGAGGCTAGTTCAGGTCCAAGATCTAGTAGAGAAACGGTGAAAAGACTTTTGAGAGTTTACTCTGAAAAAGCAGAAGTTAAACCTGTATCCAAGATTGGAGAACATACCAGAACATTGTTTCCCAAACTCTAGTTATTCTCTTAAGGCCCAGTATACTGATTCCTCACATGTTTCATATAACCTTCTTCATATTTTTATATTTAAAATCACTTTATATACCAACTTTTTGAGTTTCTGACTTCACTGGTCATAGGAAATTATGGCCATGAAATGTCAGATGAAATATTCAAGTTATGTATTTAATGCAGAATTAACATAGACATACAGTCCATGTTTGAGTTATTCTGTTCCCATCTAAGGCCATCTCCCATAACACAAATGGTATTCCTGCTTTTGGAGATGCTGTTAGGAATTGAGGACTAAAAAATTTCCCCTGTAGGCAGATGAAACATTTTCAAAAGGCTTTTTATAAATAACTTCAGTGCCTCGTTGTGTGGTCACTTCTCATTTGAGGCACAGAAGATCTCAGGACAGGGAGTGTGTGATCCTGAAAAGACCCTGGCTGGTACCTCAGGTACTTCCTGATGGAAGGAAAAGAGCGGAGGGCACATTTCTCAGGAGATTCAACTACCCCCACTAGGTGGGCACCACCAAAACAGTGCACCCTGAGAGCTGGTGTGTCGGTCTGTAGTGCCCATTAACCTGAGAACAAGGAAGGACTGCATCTTGTTCTCTCTACCGTAGGCAACATCTGAGGGAGACACCTGGGTGTGGTTCAGCAAATAGACTTTAATGAATGTTTGTGATTTTGGTTCGCTTCTCTGCATTTCATTAAATGATGATTAAGAGTTCCTTTAAAAATAAATAAAATAAAATATGAGCTCAAATGTACAACCGTGAGGGCAGTGAGGAGGAAAAGTGCTGAGGAGACTGATTCCCACACTGAAATCTGCCAGAGTATTTGAATAACAATAGCCAAAGTGTGGTCCCAGGAGATTCCATGTGGCAAAGGGGGTACTGATTCATCAAGAACAAAGGAATTGGCTCTGTGTCCTCTATTTGCAGAACCAAAACAGTGCAGATAGGACCAGGGAGGTCACCTTTTACTGAATGTCCCTAGTATCATGACGGGGAATCTACTGAGATGATCTGAAACCTTACCCCAGCCCGTTTTAGAAGGAGAAAAGAGGACTTGGGTCAGCAGGTCATAAGATCAAAGCCAAATGCACGAAAGGACATTTGGGGTAAAGAGAAAGGCTTTTATCAACCCAGCACGTACAACAAAATGACAACCAGCTGAAGTGGAACAGGGCAGAGAGTTTTATGACTCAAGGAAGGTGAACCATGGGAAAGGGTCTTCTCCCCTAATCAAAAAGGAGAGCCTTTGGGCCCCATTTAGAGAATCCCCCAAGTTCTCCCACAGCCCCAGGTCACTGGCTGAGACCTGAGTCAGGGCCTCCGTGAGTCATGAGCATGGAGCTCAGTGAGGAAAGTCTGCAGAGGATGCATTCTGTTTTCAGCGTCCCTGTCAAGCCTGTGTGGATGATTTGCATTTTGGGTTGGAAATGATTGGACTAGGTCAGTTTAGGGCTCCACTCACCCCTGGGTGGAGCGAGCACAGGCCCTATAAAGAGGCTGCCTGCGGTGGCACTGCCATCCTCCAGTGCCACTGCCATCCTCCCGGCGGCGAGTTCTGATATACGCGGAGAACGCGGTGAGTCTATTTCTAAAGAGTTCAACTGCTTTTCTGGTGCTTTCAACTGTTGCATTTACCTAAAGACAGCAAGTTTGGCATGTCCTACATCATGATCCTGGGTTTGATGCTACTCATTCGAGGAAACCTTAGAATGGGGTGCATTGATAGACTGTTTTCACTTGTTTTTAGGTAATTGGATTTCCTGTACAAAAAAAACACCAAAACAACAACAATAAATAATTGGGAAAACTTTGATATAAAGGAGAGGAAAGACAAAAGTATTTGTTGTTGTTGTTGTTGTTGTTGTTTTAATATATATATTTTGGTGTCCCTTTCATTCTCGTGTGAATTCAAAGGCTCTTTGCCTTGCTCCCAAACAGCCCTTCGTTGGGTGCCTAAGTCAGCCTATTGGGACCTCACAAGAGATAATGACGACAGGAATTCCTCGTATGTAAGGTTATTAGAACTTGTGATGGACTTTTCATGAAGATGTTATTTTCATACAAAACATATGACTTTATTCTTTCAGCAATGTGTTCTTTGGAAAAATTGTAAGCGGAAAGACAAGTCTTTCTCAGGGCTGATGAAATGATTTTATAAAGATGAAGGAACAGCCAGAGAGTCTTAAAGTGAACTTAAGAGATAAAAGCATAATTCTTTGAGACTGGAGAGATGAATCTCAAGGTATTAGATAAGGTTCTCTCTCTCCAGGAATGCCTTCTTGTGATCACTGTCATATACTTTCGTTCAGGTTTTAAGACTCCAGAAAGATGTCTTATCAGCAGCAACAGTGCAAGCAGCCCTGCCAGCCACCTCCTGTGTGCCCACCGAAGTGCATGGAGCCATGCCCACCCCCAAAGTGCCCTGAGCCATGCCCACCCCCAAAGTGCCCAGAGCCATGCCCACCCCCAAAGTGCCCTGAGCCATGCCCACCCCCAAAGTGCCCAGAGCCATGCCCACCACCAAAGTGCCCTGAGCCATGCCCACCTCAGCTGTGCCAGCAGCAATGCCCACCTGTGCAACCTCCTCCGCCATGCCAGCAGAAGTGCCCACCCAAGAGCAACTAACAGCAGGGACAGAGAAGAATAAGGACAGCTGGCTCACCTCGTTCCCCAGCCCCTCCTTCATCTTCTCTTCAGAGCCCATCATGGATGCAGAAGAGGCTCTTCCTCCCTTCAGCCTGATGTGCCCATAACGATTCCTGATGGTGATTGGTTTTCTTCCTGAGTCTCCTCTGGAAGGAAAGGAAGCTGAGAAAGGGCAGTCCTCCACTGCACCTGTGTTCCGTTCCCCAGCTTCAGAAGGAAGAGCAGCAGCTGTCCTCCTGAGGGGGAGGGAGGGCCACAGAGGGTTCCCTCAATGGCTTCTGTGTCTTTGATCTTGTGATCTGGGCAGAGGGCTCCTACCACCTGAGCAACTGTACCTATTCTTCCATTTCCTGAATAAAGCATATTTGTGATGGGATTATATGTTTTTTTCTTCTTTTAAACTTTAAATTCACTTTCCATTTACTATAACAGCACAGAAAAGAGGTCAAAGTATGTCATTTTGACACCTACTTTGAGAGATGCCCTGCGAAGTAGAGAGAGATGGCTCCGCTGCTCCACCTGTTCATGCATTCACGGTTGCTTCCTGTATGAGCCCTGACTGGAGAGGAAACCTGCAACCATGTTTCAATCAACGGAACCATTCAGATAGGGCAGCTTTTTGTCTTTAAATATTTTTTTAATCCTCGCTCAAGAACATGTTTTTATAATTTTAGAGAGAGAGAGAGAGAAAGAAAGAGAGAGAGAACATGGATGTGAGAAACATTGATTGATTGCCTTCTGAACATGGCCCAACTGGGAATCGTACCCTCAACCTAGGTATGTGCTCTGACAAGGAATAGAACCTGCTCCCCTTTTGGTCTATAGAATGATGCTCTGAACAACCAAGCCACCCAGCCAGGGCTCAGCTGGGGCAGTTCTTGAGGGTATTAATGAAGAAAATGTGAGCTTAGATTAAAAGACTTTGCTATTTCAAGAATACAAACAACTTGGTGTCCCTCCTTTCTTACTTCCCACGCTACCCATTTCATGTGTAGGCAATGCAGCTCACTTAAGAGGAATAATTTCATGAGGTATATATAAGACCCAGAGAACAATGAATAAAGGATTCTCTCCCGGAGAATATAGCAAACCCAATAAAGGCAAAGAGGAGACTGAATACAGAAATTCTTATACTTTGCTATTCTTTTGAATGATGGTTATTTTCTTCCATCGTCTCCCAACCCCCAGCTTTACCAATGTAAAATTGATAAATGAAATTGTATATTTTAAACTAAATAAGATAAACTCTATTTTAAGTAAAGATAAAAATGAAAATAATAAAGAAATAAATGAATAAAAAGTAAGAAAAAATGAATTAATAAACTGAAAGTTGGTTCTTTGAAAAGATCAATACACTTGACAATTTTATAGGTAGACTGACCAAAAAGAGAAAAGACTCAAGTTACTGAAATTAGCAAAGAGAAGAAATCATTACTGACCTTATAGAAATAAAAAGGGTTGAAAGAATTCAGAGGGAAACAAGGCACTCAATGATGGTGAGATCATTTTAGGAAAGGAGCCTAGATTCTTTTATGACTGCATGGAGCAAGAGCCTTCCCAAATAATGCTAGACTTGGACACAAGTAAGAAATTATTTCTACTGGACCAAGCCACAACAATTTAGGGGGTGTTTGTTATAGCAGCTAGCCTATGCTAATAAATTATATGATTATGACACATTTCTTTGTTTGTTTGACTACTTTATTTTGATGCTAGGTGGCACTGTTTACTCTGATATGATAGTAGACCTTACCTACTGATAAAACAAGAAGACAGATTAATAAAACTTTTAGGATGAACATTTTTCAAATAGGTTTTAAAGAATGTGGTCAGGTAAAAACATGATGATCAAAACTATCACAATTGTTTGCTCATGGTTTTTTCATTATTTCATTTACAACCTAAGGAAAAATACATCTCTTTATACTTCTGCAGGAAAATTTGCTGTGCTCCCCAGGAATATAAAAAGAAACATAGAAATATTCATGCTTGATGTAAATATGAATATGTACACACACACACACACACACACACACACACACACACACATATATATATATATATATATATATATATATATATATATATATATATAAATGCATGGCTGACAATTCTACCATGCTTCATTTCTCTGTAAACATTTTATAAAAAATATATTTTATTAATTTTTTACAGAGAGAAAGAGAAAGGGATAGAGAGCTAGAAACATCGATGAAAGAGAAACATTGACCAGCTACCTCCTGCACACCCCCCACCGGGGATGTGCCCACAACCAATGTACATGCCCTTGACCGGAATTGAACCTGGGACTCTTCAGTCCACAGACCGATTCTCTATCCACTGAGCCAAACTGGTTTTGGCATCTGTAAACATTTTTATATTCTAGGAAGATGGGGTGGTGGGCTTTCCAGTCCTCACTGCCTGTGCTTCCTGCCACACTGTGTGTGAAGTGAAGTAATCAGTTTGCATCCTGAGGATACAGTAGATCAGCTTTGGTGTGTTACTCTGGGAAGCCCCCGATCTAGCTTGCATGGGTGTGTATGTGTTTGTGTGAGGGGTTGGGTGGGGAGGGAAGTAAATCCCTCTAGTCTAGATGAATGGAAATGCCCTAAGAATCCTCATTCCCTTCCTGGCAGAGTGGGCACTCAGTGAATGGGAGAGGATTGATCGATTTCAACATGGAGGCTGTGAGTCCTGGTGTATGTTTGAGAAATACAGTCACAGGTATCAGAAAGAAATGAGTGAGGAGGAGCAGCCTCACATATGTAGGAACAGCATCCTTTGAAATAAATAGAAATTGGCTAGATAAGTGAGCAATCTGAAGGCCAGGGGCAGGGCATTCAGGGTTAGACAGTCAGCGTCAGCGCGGACGGGCACGAACTAGACTCCAGTGTGACTCACTGAGTCGCAGGAGGCGAGCCCTGCTCCAGCCTTGGTTGCCCAAGGAACAGCTTCTGGGTGGCATTACACAACCTCCCAATGCCAGCCCAAGAAAAGTCAGCGGTGGGGTGGGGGTGGGGAGACCCACCACCCACCTACTAGCAGGACCCAAAGACTCTGAAAGTTGCCCTTTCTCACGAACCTGTCTGGGAACAGGTCCTATTTCACAAGGGAAGGGAATAAAGACATTGAGTCAGATCACGACACACACACACACAGTCAGGAGTGAAATGGAAAGTGCATTTAATGGGGGCAGAACAGAGCTGATCCGCATGTTTGCACCTTAAGCCCCTCTTCAGATGAATCCTGGGCAGCTGAAACTAAGGTTCTAAGGTACCAAGACCCTCAGCCTCATTCAGAAGCTCAGAGGCCCAGAGTGTTTGGGAAGGAAGGTTTCATAGCACATATGTTTAAGGGGGCGACTGAGGGAGGACTGTAACTCGGGGTGACAGCATACTAATTACAAGGAAAGTGGCACTCAAGCAGAATGGGAGAGGGGATGCAGCACTTGGTGGTTGGTTCCTCAAGGGCATGGGTCACATTACTTCTGCTTGGTCTGCTGAGTTGGTGCTGGGATGACGGTTGAGGGACAAGGCTCTGGCACCTTGGTGTGGCAGGGCTCTGGCACCTTGGTGTGGCATGGCTCAGGCACCTTGGTGTGGCAGGGCTCAGGAACCTTGGTGTGGCATGGCTCAGGAACCTTGGTGTGGCAGGGCTCTGGCACCTTGGTGTGGCAGGGCTCAGGCACCTTGGTGTGGCATGGCTCAGGAACCTTGGTGTGGCACGGCTCCTTGGTTTGAGGAACACATGGTTCCTGGGGTGGAGGCTGGCAGGGCTGTTTCACCTGCTGCTGCTGAAGCTGGGGGTGTGTGGTGCAGGGCTGCTTCTGCTGGTGGGAACTCATGGTACACAAGAGGCTGGACCTAGAGACAGAACAGATGGTTTACACAGGGAATAACTAGGGAAGGAGCCACATTCAATGCCAGTTCAGGTCTCCTAAGAAGCAAATGTTCCCCTTCCTCCATCTACGACTAAGAACACCCTGGCGATTTCTGAACCTTTGAACAGAGGGAACCAAAAGGCAATTTGTTCAGCTCCACTTTTGTTTAGGGCCTCTCCCAGTGCTCTCTTCCTGGCACCACTTAAAACCCAATTAGCAATGCAACACAGCCGCAGGCTCCTGGCAGAAATATGACAGCACAGTATTGGGTCACATGGAAATGTGATATGATTTTGGGGGGAAAAAACAACCACCCAGTAACTTCATCCTACCCACACATTTCTGAAAACAGAATGATTTATCACCTACAGAACCCCACTTAATCCCCCTCTAGCCCCGCTCACACCCTACTCTGCCTCAAGTGTTTCCTCCAGTCTGCTCGTTCAAGTACTACCTGAACATCATGGGTCACAGATGGCCCCTATGATCCTCATCTGATGCCTTAGAAGGCATTTCTAGAGCAAGCCTTCTCCTTCCCAAATTGCACAGCACTTTGCTTGTCCTTATTGCTTTATGCAGGTGATGTTCTACCTTGACTTTCTATTGCCCATGTCTTATTTTCCTGTATAAGTTGTAGTTTCTTGGAATAAATTCTCTGCTGTCTAAATTGTTCTTTTTAGCAGACAAAAGTACCAACATAATGCATTCTCATAAAACACTTTGGCGAAAGAATAAAATTATCTGCATTAAGGTTATCAATAAAGAAAGAGGTATGTCACTACAAGTTCTACCAACCAACCCTACGTTAGCAGGGTTTATCCTGCTAATGGAGGGTCTCACACAAGCCAGCCCTCTCCTCTCTGTCACCTCAAGAGCTGATGGGGCAGCCTTGATAGCATCTTAAGTCACTTCAAGAGCAAACTCTGATTGCATTTACAACAAAGCTATTCCTAGAGGTTATAACTCTGACAACAGAACTTCAATAGTGCCAAGGAGGTTCCAATAAAAAGAAAATACCTGGAGCAGATGGTAAGTGTTCGGAGGAAGGAGAGCTACCTGGTGTGCAGAGAAGAGCAGGCTGCGTGGTCTCTCGGGTCTGATGTACTATCCCCAGCCAGCTGGCTTTTTATAGATGGAAACCCTTCTCAAGGAAATGGGATTTTTTTTTTTTTGACTGCTATGTCTTCATCCTTTGCCTATCAAGCATGATTCACGCCAGTCCCCTCATCTACCTGTTGGTTCAGTCTTTATGATGAAACCACCTACTTGACATTTTTTTGGCACTTGCTGTCTGGCAATGATGTCACTTGGGCCTTGTCCCCAAGGAGGGTCCTTTCCACCCAAGTGGAATGTTTACAGTGAGGGTGGTGTGGGCTGAAAGGCAAGAAGAGAGAGAAGTTCTAGGGCTGCCAGATGCCTGTTTCATGGAGGCCTGAATCCCTGACACAGTCCAGGTTTATTGAACTGCTTGGTATTGGAAGTGGATGTGGAGATAAGCAGTTGTTCCTGGTTCTGCTGGGAGGCCAAGAGCATGGTCCCATGAACTTTCCCAGGTGGAAAAAAAAAATCATTCTCTTCACCCATTCCTAAGTGTACCCAGGTCTGGGAGGGGAAAGGCGAGGCTCAAATGATTCGTTTGGCCCTAAAATTCCTTCACTCCAAGAGAGACCCTCAGAGTCAATAGTAGACAGGGGTATGGGAACCCCGATCAGTGATGGGGATGCTGATCAGTGAAAACCTGGAGAAAATAGCCATGTTCAGCAGCCCCAGAGAAACCTGGTCCTTTTACCCACCCACTTGTTCTGGCTAATATGCTAGTGGACCCTGAAGATGCTGCCTCCCAGTAGGACTCCTTCCTGGGAGCAACCCAGGAACATGGGGCCTGCGATTCCTGGACCCTTTATATCAGAGTCCCCTCTGCTTAAGATAAAATGAAAGTGAGGTGACCTATCCAGGCTGCCTTTCATACTCAATCTGTAACAAGCTGGAGTATTTGGAAAATCCAAGTTGTTCTTCAAACCCAGGTGTTTGTGTGCTCCCTCCTTTCTTTACTCTGCCCACCTATGTTTTGTGGAGTATCTGCTGGCTCTGCTGCTGTGTCACTTCCCCTGAACTGGAGCCCAGGACCAGCCAGCCACCACCAGGAGCTTTTCCCACTCATCTCCTAGTGATTATTCTGTTCTTCATCCCCACAAGGTGCTTGATAGATTGACATTATAGAATAGGTGGATGAATGAATGTCATTACTTTTATGAGATACCAGGAGGCTGCTTTGAGAACAGCTAAAAAGTTTCTTTTCTTTTTTAAAGAAAAAATATTTTTATTGATTTGAGAGCGAGAGAGAAAGGGAGAGGAAGAGAAGCATCCATTGGCTACTTCCTGCATGCCCCCTACTGGGAATAAAACTTGTATCCTGGGCATGCGTCCTGATTAGAAATTGAACCAGCGACCTTCTGGTGCATGGAGCAATGCTCAACCAACTAAGTCACAAGGAAGGGCACTAGGCAGTTTCTTATAAAAGTCACAAGCCACACTGTATGAGCTGAGAATAGGAGTAAGGGTTCAGCAAGAGGCAGCTGTTTCTACTACCATCCCCACCCTCCTATTTCCCTTCTAGAGTTGAAATAGCTATTTCACTTTGGGTTGGAGCACTGCGACCACTCAACCAGACCTGAGATTAAGACCTCTTGCATCAATGCATCAATTCAGCTCTGCTTTAGGCTTGCATACAAGCCTCTCCTCCCCTAAACTCTATATCTAAGGACCCGGCAAAGGAAATTTCAAGCATGCCCTGCCTCACGTCTTTCCTGGACCCACATCTTTGGTTGCCAAGGGGCAGGGGGAGGGACTGTCATTAATATTCTCTAGGTTTGACCTGATACACCTATCTGACTTGTGTGTGCTTTCCCCTAGACAACACCTTTTCCTTCTAGCATCTGAATTTCCTCTTTACCCTACTGCCCTTCTGTCTAAAGTACAGTCAATAGTTGAATACCACACCTTTTTATACTATAAATGGAAGCTCAATTTCTCCACCAGCAGTGCTGAATTAGCCAATGAATTTGCTGGAAGCCATATGGCTTCTGATTGCAACTAGCATCTCCCCAAATGCCTCTGACATTTTAATGCTTTTGTCTGGATGCTGCTAATGTTCTTAATTCCCAAAGCCTGATCTTTCTTAGTCTTACTAGTAACTGTACTAGACACCTTTTGGGCATCTCTACAAATTCTCTCTGCCCTACTTTGTATCCACACACTGCCCATGGCCCTTTCAATGGAAGCTCGAATGGGATTTATGCAAGATCCTCCAGTCCCTTCCTGATCTAAGTCATCTATGATGCTACAGTGCAGGATACCTATAGAAAATGCACTATTGAGTGCATAATCCAGGGAGAGTTAATGGGGGAAGAGTCCTCAGGATCAGAGTTGGCTTGAAGCAGGCACAGTGGGACTGAGGCATGACTCAATCCAGTGCCCAAGGAGAGTCCTGCTCTAGGCATGGCTGCCCAAAGTGACAGGCTCTGGGTTCCATTACACAATAGCCATTGTCATTGTTGAGATACCCCCTAAATGTAATCACATACTCATGGAAACACACACAGTACCAGGACAGATAGATGATGTCTACACCAACTCCTCTCTGATGACAGGTTCTGTCATGATGGAATGGCAGCAAACGGGGCAGAGTCACCCGATGACACACACAATCAGGAGTGGACACAAAAGTGATTTAATGGAGGGAGAGCAGGAAACAGGCATTTCTTCCCATTCAGATTCCTTCCACAGCTGAGCCCTGAGCAGCTGAGACCAACAAAACCACTAAGACCCCTGCTTAATTTAGAGGTGCATGGGACCTCTACAGCAAGTGTAAGGATGGTTTCATGGCACTAATTTTTAGAAGCAATTAAGAAAGGCATGGTGACTCAGGGTGAAAACATACTGACTATAAATTTACAGACAGTTAAGACACAGAAACAGAAGGGAACATGTTCAGTAACCTGTGGTCAGCTCCTCAAGGGCATGGCTGTGGACCACATGGCTTTACTTGATCTTTTGCTGGGATGGGCCCATAGTAACCTGGAACCTTAGTGTGACTCAGCTCTTATACTTGGCATAGATAAGTTGAGGAACCTCATTTAAATCTTGGTGGCTTCAGCTATTGGTTTGGGGGCAGGATTCGAGGTCCTTGGGCTGTCAGTGTGAGTGGATTGTTAACTCCAGTGTACCCACCAGATCAAAATTGGGATGGAGCTGTGGGGAGAGATGAGACATATGGGCTACCCAAATCAGGATGTGGCATCCCATCCTTGGGCTGCTGACCTGGGACCCATTGCAGAGCCTCGGGAATGTTTTTGATTGGCAGAACATAGAATTATTCTAGCAACATCTTCACTGACTTTTGTATTTTCTAATGAGAATTAAAAGTTCTAAAAAAAATCAAATAACATTGTATAATGCATAATGTGGAAAACAGAACTATTTAAAAAATGAACACTAACATACAAGCAGCCAGAAATAGCCATAGTTACATTTTGCTTTATTCATTGTTGGTATATTTTTGCTTTACTACTGAAGTGGGTGCATGTGGTTTTTTCCTGTAAACCCAGACACAAGGACCCATTATTAAAAATATGTTTTTGCTTATATTGTTTAGTACCTGCTTTTGTAATAATATAATCTGAACTTTTCCCAATAAGACTAATCATTTTTCTACAACAATCTTTTTAATGCCTGTAGTATAATCCCAGCATAGACATCTTATTCGCTGTTGCATTATCTATTGATATGCATTTAAGCGTCATCAACTTTTTTTATATTAGATACAGTGCTGAAACAAATATCCTCATGTATAAAATAATTGGGTACATGCGTGAATATTTCCTAAAAATAAAATTCTGGAATAAAATGATCATTCAAGAGTCAGGTAGATCTTGAAACCTTTTGATTCTTTCCTTCCAAATTCTTCTTTATGATATTTAAACTATATTTATAAAATCTGTATATTACAGAGTTCATTTCTCCATGAATAATCAGCCTATTTAGCTGTGAGTGGTCTGTAGTTATCTCTAGACTCTTCCAGTATTGAAATCAGAAGTAATATGAAGCTACTTCAAATGTGCATACGAGGCAGACCCAAGACACGTCATTCCCTTCTGCCAGGGTGACAACTACTCACCACCTTGTAAAAACTTGTTGGACAGTTTCTGTCTTACAGTTTCCAAAGGTCTCTGAGTTCTTGCCAACTCTGTTTGGAGTACTTGTGCCTCACGTCACTCAGATACTATCTGTCACCCGCCTCACACCTGCTTGGTGTTATGAACCATCAACTTTGTCAAGAAATGGGCTTCTCTTCCCAGTGACCACTGCAGCCATTCTGAAATTTTATGTTGGCTTTACTGGTTTTGGGAAAAAATCTCCCTAAAATCCATAACCCACTCAACAAAGGCCTGAAAATCTATTGGAGCCGAAACTGGTTTGGCTCAGTGGATAGAGCATAGGCCTGCGGACTGAAAGGTCCCAGGTTAGATTCCAGTCAAGGGCATGTATGTACTTTGGTTGCGGGCACATCCCCAGTAGGGGGTATGCAAGAGGCAGCTGATCAATGATTCTCTCATATCGATGTTTCTAACTCTGTCACTCTCTTCCTCTCTGTAAAAAATTAATAAAACATATCTTTAAAAAAAGTGGCTGCAGGAGAAAGTGAGGGTCTAGATATTTAGAGAACTGGGTTCTGGGTGTGATTCAGAAACAATTTCTGGTTGGCCTCAGTCTTATTTTCCTTTCTGGATATTAGTTTCTTCATCTGGAAATTCAGGGGCTGTACTAGGTGCTATTTAACTCTCCTGACATTTTACAGCTTAATGACCTGCTTTCCATCAGTTCATGGCTAGTTATCCACCTCACTTGGATCACATACTCTTCCCTGTAATCTCTTCTTCAAACTCAGCTCCTTTTTCTAATCTCTTGATAAGTAGCTGTCCGTGGTTTATTTTGGGAGAAACACTATCTGAAGTGGGCGATGCGGTTGTATGTAGGTTTATATGAGGACCTGAATATTGTATCTCCCAGAGAAGCCTACAAATTCTCTGAGGGGAAGACACTGTATCTTCCCCTCCTTCTTCCTGGTATAGATAGTATCAGGCCTCCCTGCACATGATGGGTACCCAGCAAAAGATAACATTGTCTGAGCTAATGAGGACCAAGCTGTATGGATAATGAGGTGTGTGGGGCTAAATAAATGTACCTCTTTGCGAGTGTGTGTCTGTATGTGTTGGATGTCTGGAAGGTAAAATGAATGAAGAATACCAGAATAATTGTTCAAGTATGTAGCAGTGATGTTTTGGGGAATAAGCAGGAGACTTGGGGGAAGAGTCCTCAGGATCAGAGTTGGCTTGGAGCAGGCACCGTGGGACTGAGGCATGACTCATTCCAGTGCCAGAGGAGAGCCCTGCTCCAGGTGTGAATGCCCAAAATGACAGGCTTTGGATTCCATTACACAATAGCCATTGTCATTCTTGAGATGCCCCTTAAATGTAATCACACACACACACACACACACACACACACACACACACACACACTCATGGAAACACAGAGTAACAGGACAGGTAGATGATGTCTACACCAACTCCTCTCTAATTGCAGGTCCTACTCATGATGGAACAAGAAGGGGCAGATTTACTCACTAAGACAAGCAGCCAAGAGTGGGATTAAAATGCTTTAATATGCACAGATCAGGAAACAGGCATCGTTCTTCATCCAGACTGACTTTTCAGATGAGCCCTGAGCAACTTAGGACCAGCAGAGCCACTCAGGCCTTCTGCATAATCCAGAGGCTCAGAGGACTCTTCAGAGTGTGCAAGGAAAAGTCTCATAGCAAATATTTTTTTTAGGATGCAAATTAGAGAAAGAGTCTGACTGGTGGTGAGAACATACTGATTACAAGGTCTACAGATAATCAAGACACAGAAGCAGAAGGAAAGAAGGTATTCAGCATCTGGCGATCAACTCCTCAAGGGCACGACCGTGGTCCACATTACTTCTGCTTGGTCTTCTGGTGGGCTGGGCCAGGGATAACCTTTGAAGGAACTGGCTCAGGGTTCTTCTGCTGGCCAGGCTGAGGGACTTTAGGGTGGACTTGCTCAGGAAGCTTGGTGTGACCCTTCTCAGGAAACACAGGGTTGCCTGGTTGAGGATGCTGAGGGTAGTATGGCTCTGGAACTTTGGTTTGGCCTGGTTGAGGATGCTGGGGGTAGTGTGGCTCTGGAACCTTGGTTGGGCCAGGTTGAGGATGCTGGGGGTAGTGTGGCTCTGGAACCTTGGTGGGGCCAGGTTGTGGAACCTTGGTGGGGAATGGCTCCTTGGTTATAGGAACAAATGTTTCTTGAGGTGGAGGCTGGGAGGGCTGTTTCACCTGCTGCTGTTGAAGCTGGGGAGGTGGGTTGGAGGGCTGCTTCTGCTGGTAGGAACTCATGGTTCAAAGGAGGCTGGACCTAGAGACAGAAAAGTTGACCCAGTGATTTGGTAAAACAAGGAAAAAGAACAAATTTAACACTCAATGTATCTGCTAGCATGTCCCTTCAGATGTGAGAGCCTCTCTTCTCTTTCTCTCTCTCCTGAATGAATGGAAACTTTGTTGATCCCTATGCCCTTTCAAGGAGAGAAGCTTAAAGGTGCTTTATTCTGCTCCATATGCGTGGACTCCAGGCCTATCCTTCCTTTCATCCTGGTGATTCTGAAAATCTACATTGGAAGCATAACACAACATTGGCTCCCAGGATTGATTGAGTCCCCAGAATTTTAATAATTTGGGAAGATGATAAAGTCAAAAGTCTAAGCTCTACCCTCTCAAGTCCACCATATAACTCTCCTAAGAAAACTGCACACCAACCTGCCCTGAGCCACATGATTCCAACTCTGACTCTCTGTCCACATTGTCCCCTCTGTGCATACTTTATGGAAGGCTTTCCATCCTGTTTCTATTTTCACACATGCTCACCCATCCTCCCAGACACTCTTTGCCAAATCCAAGTCACCTTCCTCATTTGCCACAGCAAAATACCTGCTTTGTCCTCTCTGTTAATTACTTTTCTTGAAGTATGTTTGTAAATTATGCCCATGTTCTACATTCTTTGATGGATAATAAGTTCATGGAGTAAAGAAATCCTATCATTTGAATATCCAAATCATCAGTGTCACAATATTTCAAATACTCAGTAATGATTTGAAGTATTAAAAGTCACTAAAAGTAACCTGAGCATGGTTTAGTCTCTATCCTGTAACTGAACAAATCGTCATTACAGAAACCATTCCCCTTTTTTAAATCCCAAGTTTCATAGTTAACAATCTGAGTGGGAAGTCCACAGACCTGAATATCACCTTAAACACAAATTACCATTGCATTTGAAGTAAATATTTTTTTAGCATGACAAACAGACTCCAAACAAATAAAATGCAATTGGGCACATATTAAGAAATTACAAGTAGAGAGACTCACCTGGTGCAGAGAAAAGTTCAAGCTGTCTGGCCTCTTGGGTCTGGTGGGGAGTCTCTGGCCAGCTAGTATTTTTATACAGAGTATGAGCCTTGCCTTAAGGAAGTAGACCTGTTTTTGGACTTCTCTACCTTTATTCCAGCTTTTGTGATGAAAATCTCTGGCTTAACATTTTTGGGCACTTACTCTTTGACAAAGTTTTTACCCTGGGCTTGGTCCCACTGTCTACCCTTTGTGATGAGGTTGGTATGGATAACAGGATTCCTGGGCTGTGATGAGTTATGTCAGGGGGAAGTTGTGGATTCTGGGACCAGGAACAAGTGTGTTTCCTGGACAGAAACCTAGTCTTTAGCTCAGATTAATTCTGTTTAATTTTCTAAGCGGATGTGGAGATGAATAATAGGTACTACTGGTTCTTCTGGGAGGCTCTGAAGAGTAGTAGGTGAATCACCTGATCTTCACGTAAGTGACTATTCAGTAAGGGACAATAAGTGAACAATATGCTGTTCCATTTCTTAGCAGATCCAGCCCTTTGGAGGAAAGGAAAGGCTAAAAATCCTGCTTTAGAAGTGAATTGTAAGAGAGAGTTCCTTACGACGCCATGTTGACCAAGGACAGTAGATGTCATTGGGGATGGAGAGCCAGGATGAACTGGGTCTGTTCAACATGATGCACAGTTCTGAAGACCTTGCCTCTCATGGGTTATCTTTTCTCATACACCAGTCATGTTCTCAGATCATGGTAAGATGAAACAGAGGTCACTAACCCAGAGTTGACCTCAACATGAAATCTTTTGCTAGGTGTGCCCCTGGAGAAATCCAAACATCCTTAAAACTCAAGTATGTAGATGGCACCTCCCTTCCCACTTCTTTACTCCTATGTTACTTACCATGAACTTGAACCTTCAGGCAGAGCCAATACTATGAGGTCCTTCCATCAGTTATCCAAAGGTCTATTTATCCTCACACTAGTCTGATGGATGCTAAGTCAATGGAAAATTGTCATTTTCCCTGATGGATGTGTAGTTTCATGGAAGGAAGGAAGGAAGGAAGGAAGGAAGGAAGGAAGGAAGGAAGGGAGGGAGGGAGGAAGGAAGGAAAAGTCATTGTTTTAGAGAGATGTCTATAAATTGCTTTGATAATCATAAAGCAACTACTTGAAAATGACTCACTTTCTTATGACAGGTCTCATGATATAACCTGAGAAGAAGGTGAGGGCTCATCGTCCTCTTCCCTGCTTCCTTTCCCACCCATCTTCTCTCTGCTAGTGTTGGACTAGTCACCTACCTCTGGGATAGTGCCAGTGCCACCATGATACCTAAACTCCACTTCCTGGTATCACATTAGCTCTCCTCTGGGGTTGGGTCTCAGGAACCTCTGACAGAAGGAGCTTGATCAGGCTCTGCTGTTTCACCTGGGATTTTTATGTCCTGAAGTACCTACTCCTCTGTATGAATCTGGGTCTTTCTTGTGTCCTATCTTGATTCTGGACTTTGGTTCTAGAAGAAATGCCTTTCTCATTTTCTATTTTTCTTTCCTGAGTGGGATTTCTCCTGCCCTGTCCTGATATCTTGTTCACTCTTATAAAAGCCTCTCTGGCTTCAGCCTCTAGGACTTCTAATTTTACCCAATCCTGTTGTTCCTGTTTGTTTGGACAACATACTCAGTGTCTGGGTGTTAAGGCTCTTTCTGCCCTTCAGAGAAGCTTGGTTTGTTCACCAGTGTGCATGCACTAAGGAGACTGACCCCCACTGCAGAGTGTGAGTTCCATCACTTCTGATGGAGAGTCCTGCTTCCAGAGGGACGTTGACCTTTCCTGGCCCCTTTGCTGGCATTCAGAAGCTGCTGCTTTCCCCATATCGGTGGGCTAGGCCTTGCTTGAGACCTGAATGTGGACAATATTGGGTAACTTTAAAAGTCTCTGGGCCTTGCTTTTTTATCATGATTGTGTAGACTGTTCCCACATAATTCCTTGGATTCTTTTTTTCTTTTCTTTTTTTCTTGAGCCTAGGTTCCAGCATAGCAACCGCCTGCAGCCCAATAGAAACTCCCTTCCTGAACAGTTCTCATCTAAACCAGATACTGTCTTCTGTTTTCTTTCACATACATGGAGACTCAAGATGCTGCTGGGACAGAGGAAACCAAGACCTTCCCATGCAGAGACCCAAATGTACATGTCTTTATCTGCACAGGTGACATCTGCATCCAAGCCAGAAACATGCAGTTTATCTCCTGTGTGTAGTTTGTACCTCAAATTCCTCACACAGACACAGTATCCTACCTTCTCCTGTTAGCTGGGTGAATGGCATTCTACAGATGGAGAGGAAGGAGCAAGGGAAGAGGAGGAGCTCAGACCGGTCAGAGAACTCTACCTCTGCCAAGTAACCTTGAGGTCACAGGTTCAAGGCAATGGGCAAGACTAGAATCCTTGGTTGTGAGTGTGGTGGAGGGAGTGGTGTTCTGGGGATTTTTCACAAAAAAGGTTTAGGATTGTATTGGGGTTTATATGAGATATCATTTTTTAAAAGATGTGATCCTCTCCCCATCCTTTGGGGTTGCTGGCATAGAAACTTGCTATAGGACTCATGAAGTTTCTGGAATAAATGTTTCCTCTACTTTATCAACATCTTGGAGTTCTTTAATTTTTTTAAAATTTAAAACAAGTGTCAACAATAAAAACATTTTCAATTTATGGTATTGAAAATGATTAAAATATAGGGGTGTTCAAAGAATAAAATAAACAATTCCTTTTACTGTCCAGCCTAACATAGCCACTGTTGATATTTTGCTCTATTTATACTGGCAGATTTCAAAAGATATGCATGGAGACATACATTTTAACAAAGGTAAAACTATGTAATTATGTGTTACATGCCATTATATTTTAAATGACCTTGACATTGTCTGCACATTTTTCCATATGACTAAATATTACTTTATGACCTTAGTATATTCCATGACATAGATACACAATAACTTGTTCAATTAATTTTCTCTTTGGGGGAACTTATTTTGTTTTCCTTCCATCCTTTTATTTCCCTTTTTTTGTTATTATAATACATTGTTGAAATAATTCTCCTTATAAATAAATCTTTGTGCTCATCAATGCATATTTTCCAGTGGAATACAGAGGGTATGCAAATGTTTAAGGATTTTGATTCATTTTGCTCAACTCTTCCTATGATGGTTCCTTGATTTTATACCCTTCCAACTGCGTATCACCAGTCAGTGTCTTCGACTGTGGTCAGCCCATTTAAGGTTGACTGTTCCTGTAGATATTAGTGACATTTTCCATCATGTCAATGTATAATAATTTGAAGTCACCTGAACATGTGCAAACCTCACAAACCCAGATGATGTTGTCCTCTCCTGCCAGTCTGATAATGACTCCTGAACCTGCAGAGCTCTGTTGAACACCTTTTCTCTTATCATCTCCAAATCTGTACTTCTTCCCAAACCTACCCGAGGGCTGTCCATCATGCAGGCACTAATGTTGACCCCTGGATATCCGTTTGTTGATTTGGAACATGAATGAGCTGTGACAGATGCTCTTTAAGCCTTTCATTTTACATCTTAATGACCTGGTCTCCCTCAACTTTATGGTGACTTTTTGTCTTATCTGTATTAACCTCTGAAACCTTCCTAAATGCTTATTTTCTTTTTTTTTTTCCTATGATTCGTTTGCTTTTATGTTCTACTCTGTGAGGTACCTATATCTGTGTGTGGGTGGGGGGGGGGAGAGAGAGAGAGAGAGAGAGAGAGAGAGAGAGAGAGAGAGAGCAGGCACTGTGGAGTCCACTCTCCTGCAGCTCTGAGGTCTTCATATTGGGCATTCAGTGAAAGATAATCAGCATGCATATGTGTGTGTTGTGTGATTTGGGGCATTTGTGTGCTGTGTAGTGTGTGTGTGTGTGTGTGTGTGTGTGTGTGTGTGTATAGGAGTCTACCTGAATGTGTTTCTCTGTCATGAGAGTATGGGTAGGGGTGTGTGTGTGTGTGTGTGTGCCTGAGAGTGAGTGTTTAAGTGCTTGCCTTCCATGAGTTGTGGTATGAGGAAGGGAGGATGAGTGGAGAACAGATAATCATGTTGGAATACATGCAAGCACTATTTCTTTGGAATAATAATAACAATAATAATAATAAATAATAGAATAAAGTGAACAAAATGAAGGCTATTTGGCAACAAGGATTGAGAGGCAGAGAGGGCTTGTCACCATCTATATTCAGATATGATGCACTCAGGGACAAAAAGAAAGCCCTACTCTGGCTGAGGCTGCCCAAATAGACTCTGGGTGGCCTTTACCGCTCTCCCATTGGCAGCACAGGAACATCTGGTGAATACAACAGCCACACACACACATCTGCATGTTCTCAGTGCTTACATCAGGCACCTTCTGACACCCCTCCTCACCAGCCCTACTGTGTACAGTTCTGACTTCATGTTGGGAGGCCAGTGTAAAAAGCTGAGTAAGCCAATGACACACGTAGCCAGCTATATTGTTACAAACGATTTAATGGGGGCAGAGCAGGGAAGAGTCACTTGATTTCTCCTCCCTCCAAAAAAAATCACTCTTCAGATGAGCCCTGGGCTCAGGAGCCCTCCAAACTGAGTGTGAGGGACATCCTTCTGGAGGGTACAAAGAGGGGGGGGATTATGACAGCATGCTAATGGCAAGTGGGACAAATAAACAGAATGGGAGAGGGGATTCAGCATTCAGCGGTTGGTTCTTCAAGGACATGGACCACATTACTTCTGCTTGGTCTGCTGAACTGGTGCTGGAGTAACCTTGGTGTGGCATGGCTCAGGCACCTTGGTGTGGCAGGGCTCAGGCACCTTGGTGTGGCACGGCTCAGGCACCTTGGTGTGGCATGGCTCAGGCACCTTGGTATGGCATGGCTCAGGCACCTTGGTATGGCATGGCTCAGGCACCTTGGTATGGCATGGCTCAGGCACCTTGGTGTGGCAGGGCTCAGGCACCTTGGTGTGGCAGGGCTCAGGCACCTTGGTGTGGCACGGCTCAGGCACCTTGGTGTGGCATGGCTCAGGCACCTTGGTATGGCATGGCTCAGGCACCTTGGTATGGCATGGCTCAGGCACCTTGGTATGGCATGGCTCAGGCACCTTGGTGTGGCATGGCTCAGGAACCTTGGTGTGGCATGGCTCCTTGGTTTTGGAGACACATGGTTCCTGGGGTGGAGGCTGGCAGGGCTGTTTCACCTGCTGCTGCTGGAGCTGGGAAGGTGTAGTGCAGGGCTGCTTCTGCTGGTGGGAACTCATGGTTCAAAGGAGGCTGGACCTAGAGACAGAATAGTTGGTTTAAAAAGGGATTAGTTAGAGAACAAGTCAAATTCAATGCCAAGTAGGATTAATTTTACAAGAGTGAGCCTCATCTCTCCCCTGGCTGCCCTCTTACATTTGAGAGTAAAATATGCTTTGGCAATGTCAGGACCTTCTCGGGGGGAGGAGCTTAAAGGCAGTTTGTTGGTTCCATTTCGGTGGAATTCCTTCCTCAGCTCCCTTTCTTCCCCAGGATTTGTCACACTCCTACTGACAAGTGGGTCTTTTGGAAAATGATATCTTAGAAATGACTGAAATCTACCCATTCCTAGTACTACACAGCACTGTCACTCATAGGATGACTCTATATGAATTCTAGCTCCTGCAACCTGACTTTGGCCTTTGCTTACACAGCCCTCTCTGAAATTCTTTCCTTCCCATCTTTGCTGTCCAAATGCTACTCCATTGTAGCTCATATCATGTGCCATCACTTGGAGTTCTTCATGAGTGGAGTTTCCCAACTGCCACAGCCCTTCCCTGTCCCCTCCTCATACCAGTCACTATCTATCTATCTATCTATCTATCTATCTATCTATCTATCTATCTTATCCACCCCCCCCCACTAGATTGTGAGTTTGTTGAGTAATTTCTTATGGGTATGTGTTACCCGAAGTGCTTAAATATAATTAAGGCTCTGTAGAGGTCTATAATATGAATCAAAATGTTATAATAAGTTTCATGAACAGAGAGGACAGTGGTGTTTCTGAGTCTCTGGGCCTGAGTTCTAGTTGTAAACCTGCTTTTAACTATGATGGAATCTCACACTGGTCTGTCCCCTACCCTGAGCCCCGTTTCAAAGCTGCCCACTGAAATGACTGACTTAACCACCTATTAAGTCCTCTTCAAACTCAAACTAGATTTTCAAGGGCTAATGCTTTAATTTAAAATACAAATACCCCAATAGTAAATACAAATACAAATACCTCACTCGCTATTCAATACCCTGTACCAGCCCTCTTACACATTTGCCTATGCCCAGTTTCTAATAATGAAAAAAGAACCAAGAATTTCACATTGGTTCCAATCAGAGACTCACCTGGTACAGTGAAGAACAGGTTCGGTTTCCTGGTCCCTTTGATCTGGTGTAAAATCGATGGCCAGCTGGCTTTTTATAAGATGACTGAGCCCTGCCTTTGGAAAATAGGATCATCCCAGGCCCCTATGTTTTCATTCCTTACTTGTCAACGATGATTCACCCCACTCCCCTCAATTACCAGTTGGCTCATCTTTTGTGATGAAAACCACCCACTTGGTAATTTTTGGCACTGGCTGCCTGCCAACAATGTCACCTGGGCCTAGTTCCCAAGGCCACCCTCCCCCGTGTACCCAAGTATAGGACTCGTGTTGGTGTGGGGTGAGCCATAGGTTTCCTGAGGAGTTTTATAAGTTAACCCTGGAAGGATATCTGAGTGCTTCTGTGATCTTGCCACCTTTCAGCTCTCTTTTTTCTTGAGATGGTTGCTTCTCATGTTCTGTGGGATAGAATCCATTTGGGCACATGAACAAGTGGAAAAGGGAAGGGGAGTGGAGGAACAGAGGAGTGGAGGTGGGCACCAGTTGCCTGTCTTATAAAGGTAGATGGATGCTAGAGATTATAGACTTGACTGAAGGGAAGACCCCTTGTCTGGAGGATTTAAGACCATTACATCCCTGTCTCCCATCTTTTTCCTAACTTCACTGAGCCACACCCATTCAGAATTACTTAATGATTATTTCCCCCAGCCCCACCCGTCCCGGACTGGTTGCTAACCTGGGTAAACCTGCTTTGCTTTCACCAACCACACCTTCACCTCTTTCCTATTTAAGAGATTTTCAAGGGCTAATCATCTTCTGGGATAACTTCCCCTCTACTCCACCCAGTCTTCTGGCCATGGCCCTTTCCTCCTTCCTTACCCAACTATACATCACCCCTATCCCCCACCTGAAAATCTGGAAGCACTTCCTAACTGCCTGCACCCCAAGCCCATCCATGGAGCCCTCAGTGATGAATACCCTCCCCTCAACTCTTGCTCCCTTTCAACTCCAGCCTCAATTCCTGGAGCTCTTGCCGGCTGCAATGCTTCCCTCGCCTCCCTCTGGCTCCGTATCTCCTGGGGGCTTTCTGAGTGTAGGAATTGTGCCTGCTCAAAACGATAGTAATTCAATAAATATTCATTCATTCAGAATCCTGAGTACACATCAGTCCTGGCTCATTCTAGGAGTTCGCTATAGAAAGACCACTTTTCCTCATCAGATCGGGAACTCCCTGGGGTGAGAGACACAGCCTCTGGTGTAATGGATTTCAGGGATCCTTAGGCTACACTCCTCACCTGGTGATGGAGAGTTAGAGGCCACAGGAAGTGAAGTAACTCCTCCAAATCCAAACAACAAACCCCATGAGAAAAAGACTTCTACACAGAAATCCTCTGTTCTCCTTTGCCTTAACCCCTCCTCATGCCTACAGAGGGAATGAAGCAGGAACATGATTGAAGGAGGTCAGGGGGAGCCCAGACTTCTGGGTTGGACCTGGGCCCACTCAGAGTCCTGGGAAAGTCTGCGTGTGTGGCAATGTGAAAAGACATAAAGAGGCTTCCAGAATTTGGGTAAGCCCTTAATCGTTGCCAGGACGAATGCGCTTAAGTAGTCATAAATCTGCTTAATGTTTGAAGTGACTGTGGGGATAAATAGAAGGCATTTCTAGCTCTGCTAAAACTGGGAGGGGACATGAATGAACAGAGATGGAAATAAGGTACTAATGAAGTTCCTCCCCACTCATGGGTGAGGGTCTGAGAGGAACAAAAGGGCTAAAATGCCTGTTTTGAATCAGAGTTGCTTTCACTCTGTAGGAGGTCCCAGGGTGGCATAGTGACAGGGGCCGGGTGCCCTGACCACAGTGACACTGAGGGTGGCAGAAGGTGAGCAGCCTCTGAGCACCTGCCCAGGTGCAACTTCCCTTCACTCGGGGCAAGTCCAGAAGATTTTTTGCCATGATCTCTTTTCTGAGGCCATAAGAATGGGGATTCCTTGAGACCTTACACCAGCAATTTCCTTTGATCAACACAAACTAAAATGGAAGTTCAGAGCTGCCTTCAAAACACAATGTATTACTAGGTGTGGTCTTAGGAAAATCCAAATCACCTTATAACCCAGGTGTGTGGACAGTTCCTCCTCCTCATTCCTCTCCACTGTCACACTTACATATTTGGGGAGCACCTGCTGGCTGCCCAGCTGAGTCACCTCTTGTTAACTGCAGTGGTGGGCCAGCCTCCCACTGTGTCCCCACAACCATTGGTCCACGTCCATCCGTACACATGGTGCCCGGTGGGCAGTAGCTGCACAGTGAGCTTGTGATTACAGAATGACTGACTGACTGAATGAATGATTGAATGAATAAATTAATGAATGACATTATTTGTAAAGAGAGGCCCAGAGACGGCTGGAAAGTCTCATCTTCAGGGATGAGCTGAGAAAAGGGGTCTCAGACAAGGACAGCCCTTCCACTGCTTTCCTCAGACATCTGCTTCACTGTCCATTGGTTTCACAACCCGCCTCTCTCTAGGCTTCCACCAGCACCATGGCCACACAGAGCTCCAAGCCTCTCCCCTCACATTAGCTCCTCTCTGGACATGAGCCAGGCCCTCTCTCCACCCAACAGCCCCCCAGGAGCCTCATTCATTAATTTATTTGTTCAATTATTCATTCAGTCAGTCAGTCATTCTGTAATCACAAGTTCACTGTGCAGCTACTGCCCACTGGGCACCATGTGTACGGATGGATGTGGACCAATGATTGTGGGGACACAGTGGGAGGCTGGCCCATGACTGCAGTTAACAAGAGGTGACTCAGCTGGGCAGCCAGCAGGTGATCCCCAAATATGTAAGTGTGACAGTGGAGAGGAATGAGGAGGAGGAACTGTCCACACACCTGGGTTATAAGGTGAAATGGTCAACTGCTTATCTGTTATCAGAGGAGCAGCCGGAAAAGCCTGGCGTAATTCTCAGCCCCAAAGAAGCTGCTTTCTGCTCCTCTGCTGTCCCCACCCAGCTGTCTCAGCCCTGAGGATCAGAACCTGCTCTGAAGCTGGGTCCCCTGTACCCTCTTTGGCCTTGGCTCTGGATAAAAGTTTTCCAGTCACCCAGTACCCGCACTGGCCAAGCTCTCCTGTCCCCACCAGGGCTTCCTTCTCTCCACTCCACACTGCTCTGGCTCCGGCTCTGACTTTGGAACTTTCCCTTGACCTCCATTTGTTTGTCTGACATGCACTCAGTGGCTGGTGTTAAGTCTGTTCTCCTCTTCTGATAAGCTTTGATTCACTATCAGGGTTGGCCAAGCTGGTGAATCCAGTCCTACAAACTCCCCACATTAAAAAATAAAAAAAATAAAATAAAATAAAAAAAGGGAGGGGGAAGCAATGGCCTCTAATGGGAAGGCCATCTCCCAGGGTTGCTCAGCTGTGTGTATGTGTATGAGAAAGAGAGTGACAGAGGAGAGAGAGAGAGTGTGACAGAGAGAGAGACAGAGAGAGAAAGAGAGAAAAGAGCGCTTTATAATTACCTTCTCTTTTACCACTAAACTTTTAGGAGTACATATTGGTCAGATTTTACCGTGAGTTATTGGATAGTGGCAATGACTGCAAAGTCCATTATATGAGTGGCTAAAGTTTCTGGTGATTATACAATGGCCTGAACATGCTCTAGATAAAGAAACTGAGTCAGAAAAATGTTAAGTAACTCTCCCAAGAGGTTACAAAGATAGAATGAACCAGGATACAGTCCCTGAGCAACTCTGCCACATTGCTTCTCAATCCTAGTAAAGCATGGGCCATTCTATAGGCCGAGGGACTATTCTCAGAAGAGACATTGACTGGGTCCTGATGGTCCCGCACAGCTGAAGTGATCAATTGCTTATCTATTAACAATTAGACATAAAGTTTCCCTGGGTATGAATGATTGAAAGACACAGGTAGACAACTATTTTTTAGTGGAGGATATTGAGTTTGAAATGGAATTTGGGATGGTTTAGGCTATATAATAGGTGTGCTCCCCCTCAATCATTCATTGCCTCTTGGGCTGTTGGAAGGCCACAGTGGCAAGCACACAGTTAAGCATTTCCCACAGAGAGTTCAGAACCCTATTGTAGGTAACTACGCTTTGTAGGTGCTGGTCTGGCCTTTGTTTGTTCAGCTGTGCCAGCTCCCCTGATCCACCTGTGAGAGCTAGCACCTCCAGAGTACAGCATGGCCTCTATAGATCACAGGTGTGGAAACATAAAGCCCTGGGTTCAAATTCTGCCCCTGATCCTTCCTAGCAGTGTGTGTATGATATTGGAAAAGTTTTTAAATAACAATAGCTCCCATTTGATTGATACCCACAGGTGTTAGACTTTGTTCTGAACACTTGATGCTAATTGTCACAAGAGCAGTGCTAGAAATAGATCATTAAGCACCAGTCTTCATTTCAACCACCAATAGCTCTCCAGATGTGGAAGTTGAAGCACAAATAAGACACCTGCTCAAGTTTATGTGGCAAATAGGTGTCATGTTCAAGATGCAAATTCAGTACTATAACTCCAAGGCCTTTATGCATCTCAGTTTATCTTGCCCATACATTAGAAATGATAATATTGGCTTCCAGGTCATTATTCAATGGGTTTACATATGTGAAGTAACTACTACAGTGATTAGAGCATACTCGATGGATACAAGATGTCAGTGCATTTCATCTCTTTAGGATCAGAAATGCATGAATTATTAAAAACTCATTTCCTTGGTTTGTGAAGTAGTCAGTCATTTGTCTAACACATGTTGCTGAGTGACAACCAAATGTTAAGCTTGAAGTCTGGCAGAGAAATAGGAAGCAATTGGTGAGTTTCTGAGACCCAATACCCATTGGTGACGAGCTTTTCTCCGACTGACCTAAGCATAAGAATCACTTGAGATGCTGGTTAAAACTATAGCTGCATTGTATAAAAGTATTGCAGCCCTTTTTTATCTACTTACCTGCTGATGGGCACTTGGGCTGTTTTCAGATCTTAACCAAACAACCAATCAAAGCAAAATATGCTAATGATATGCTTAGGCTGCTCAACCACTCACTATGATGTACACTGATCACCAGGGGGCAGACAGTCAACTGGTTGATCAGTTGCTATGACATGCACTGACCATCAGAGAGCAAATGCTCCAATTTGTAGGTTAGCTTGCTCCTGGGATCCGGGCCCATAGGGACTGAGAGAGATGGGCTCGACATGCCCTGGAACCCTCCTGTGG